TACGCTCGTGGTTTCAAATAGGGTGTAAAAACGTGATCTGTCCTTATTTTTCACAAATACAGTTGCATAATGTACCAATACAATGACATAATCAACGATAATCCTCAAACTTCGAGTAAACAAGTGCAACCCATAAGTCTACCGTTTCGGCGGTTTTGCACATTGCAAACTGGACCAGTATTTGTGTAGCACCCCTTGCTCTACGAATATCTTTTGGTATTTCATTATTTTTTGATAATCTCTACATTCAAGAAGAATGCAAGACTTCACCTTGTCCTATATCTTTACGTTACGCACGCTAATCCTCAAAACGTTTCGAAGACGTGCCACTGCGCCCTTACGTAACGAGTGTAAAAACGTATTTTCCAGAACGCCGCACTAGTGCGACAAAAATATATGCTTCTTACATATTTTGTGTCAATGTGACTTTGATTTGCATCATCACCATTACACGTGATTTAATGAAAGTCCTGGACAACTTTGCCATAGAGCATTTTGCGCAAATATAATGGCCTAATGCACACCAACGCCATCATTGCGGAGTGCTCCCATCTCTTAGCATTTCATTGTTTTTTATTTTGTTATATATGTAATGTACACACCAGGGTACAGTTAACACAGATAACTCTGCAGACTTAATAACATTTCCTACTCTACAAGATTTACAAGATCATGAACTAGCCCCGTTTTTTTAAATCAATAATAAAATCAAAATAAACTGATGAAATTGTCATTTATAAAATAAAAATGAAAGGAAACTGTACTTGATTTATTTGTTTACTCTCTTCTATCTCTTACGCAATTGACTTCAAGATTAATCAAATTTCAAAGGTGATAATGGTGTTCTATTACTCATTAGTGTAGTTGGATTCATTGCATCGTACCATGGTTTTACTTATAGTATTTCTTGCTGTCCTTGTCTTCCACTCGGCTCTATGCTGTTCAATAAGAGAGTGCTCCTGTTTTAACAGTATAATAGACTGTGCAGGCCGATAACTTCATGATATACCACCTACTCTGGATTGCCAAACTCTTGCTGGGTACGACTTCCTGTCATTAAGGAATAACTTTATAGTTTGTCCTAATTCATCGTTACTACAAAGTTTGTCGGTTTGTTTAAAGGACATTGATATCCGCAATAATCCATTAAACTGTTCTTGTGTAAATCGCTGTCTGGCTAACCTAAGAAGTCAATGCTTTGGACAATGTGTTGGGGCAAGTCAGTCCTCCAGTCACTTGACCCTGTCTGGACAAGAGAGCGCGAAAACCGAATCTGTTAATATTTTGACATTGTCTGGACCAAGCACCACGAAACGCGGATCGGTACATATGGTAACTAGCTGTTCCCTGACTGTGAGTTCTTTCATTGAACCAGCAACTGTTTATAGGACTGTAAGCTCCGTTTCTACTAAAGTTCCGCTCCAGATGTCAACTCATTCACACAACATACCGACGTCAAGCTACAACAACCAAGCTCTAAAATATAATTGGGTACTTCAAACGTCAATAGGAGTCCCTTTGGGTATACTAATAATTGCACTGATGGTCTTGATGTGCAAACTAGTAAAAAAGGTGCAATCGCGTGCTCAAACGCACGCTTTTGAGCTAAATGATTTTACACAGCGCCAACGACAACGTTCATAACGAAGATGATAACGAAGATGGTGAAATGGTGGTTTTCTCTATCCGGAGAAGATTTGAAGAAAGCAAGGTTTGAATATTATTTTCATAGACTGCAAAATGCAGCAAAATGCAGCAAAACACTCTTAGTCATTTACGTAACATATGTCAGATAGTTATTTATTGAGTTTTGTTCAGGATATGTGAACACTTCAAGACGTATATACTTTAAAAACATTTATTTAAAAAAATAGAAGTATTTTACATATCCATGCTTTAGGGATCATTTAATATTTACAAAATTGATTAAATATAATTTTCTAAATCAAATGATTCTGCCTCGTCGCTGTCATGTCGTCCATAAATAAATCTTGATTGGTGTGATTACACGTATTCATCAAATAATCGCATTTTGATTGAAGTTCGTCTATGGTCTGTTGCTGTTTTACCACCAATTCCATAAGGGACTTTATAAAATGCTCCTCTACTGTTGCGGCTGGTCTGTGTTCTTCGTCAGTCTCCTTACCAGCCTTAATAGTTTTGTGGGACTTTCTTTTGGAAATTTCTGCAAGAGCCCAATTACCTCCAACAGCTGTTTCAAAATGAACGTGGTCAAGAATCAAACTTATATTAAATCCAAAAGAATGTAATTGAAGGCGAGACTTGATTTTGCACAACTCGTAAAATAAGAATTACACTTATATCATTTATATATTTACCTCTCCTGTGTATACTGTTGCTGTTCCATGGTTATTTAGAAATTTCTTTGATGTCTCTGCTGAATCCTTATTTGTATTTGGAATGTTGGCCTCCGCACTTATATATTGTATTTTTTCCCGCCATTTCTTTATTAACCAATAAGATGTGGAGTGCATATTTGTATGTTCAAAGTTCATTTCACTAATGTTTCGAGATAATCTTATTCTCGTGAATAATTCTGATTGAAATGATCCAATAAAATTGTACAATATTTCGCTCCAAATGTTGACGTGTACGAGTGCAAAGTTCAAGTTCCAGGTAAACTATCTGGAATGTTATGAATTAAATTGTTTGAATTTTTTAGATATCATATAAACACTTTTCTCTCGCTAATGTTATTCATTCCATTATTCCATTTCGAGACAGATTGAACATGGCTGACCACTTTGTTGAAAGGGCTATTCGAGAATGTACATCTGAAAAGGAGCTAGATGATTTACTTGATATTTTACAACCTAACACTATTGCTTTGACGATTGCTGCGATGGAAACTAGAGATCGCTTAGTTTCGAATCTAGTAATGGAAGTGGATCAGTTAACTGAAGCATTGTTATTTGATGATGATTGTAATGAGATAATTCAAGATTTAACAAACGCAGACGAAAGCAGTACAGCTTGCAGGAGTCAAACAGGAGGACGTATGATGAAACGTCAAAGAGATGAACAAGACTGGGATGAAAATATTCTTCCCAGAAAGCAAAAATATCCCGAGCCAACACTGGTGCAGCATTCCCGACAGTAGTATACCCCCCTCCCCAACACACACACTATAGTACCTCCCCCCTCCCCTATAAGTTATGCAAGGTATGCAAGGAATGTTATGCAAGGAATGTCAAATGTAAAGAACATCAAATGTAAAGAATGTCAATATGTGGAATGCCAAACATATTTTAGACACGTGACTACCCCTCCAAACAGAGGTAGAGGGGTAGTCATAACAGACTAAGAATGTGGAATTTCATGAATTCGCTGAATGCAGGTAACTCTGGTATGCAGGCAATGGCATTCCAGCTATTTCTATTGCTGGACCATTCCATGGTTTCAATTAGCTCCTCAATTGTGTCCATCTGTTCTTCACCGTTATAGTTCTTCATCATGTCACCATATTTTTTTAGTTGTGTTTTTAGTTCCCTTATTTCGTGTTCCTGTTTCTGTATTAATTTTATCAAAGATTTCAAGATGTGGTTGTCCACATTGGATTGAGTCTTATCCATTCTGTAATTAAAATAAAGAAGAAAGCACAATATTCATAATTCCATCTGATATAAATGTACATAGTTGGTTTCTTGATTATATTGATGATTCAATATTAGTATCGCACAAGAAAATCATATTTTTCTAAGTGCATTATTTTCCGTCATTTGCTATTTAGCTTTGTTTATGGTCGATTATATTAAACATTATTCTTACCTTGTGTTGTTGTTCATTTCTTGTCTTTCTTGTATTTCCTGTATTTCTTCAAGTCTTCTTTTGTTTTACTGCTTTGGTCTTCGAAGGATCTTTTGAAATTTATAGTTATTTTTCCCGCTCATTTTTCTGAACTTCCAATCGTTTGCTTGCAAATTTCGCGCCAAAATTAATTTTCTTAATCACACGTGATATTTCAGGTATACAAATTATCTACTAAGACGTTTGGTAGGAATGAGTTTCCAGTAATTCGATCCCTTCACCGACCGCAATGCATGCATGGATTGCCAGGGGGCAAACAAAGCGAGACTTACAAGAGTTTGTATGGCGGAAAATTGTGTTTTCATGTTTATCGTTCGATTTTTCAGTGGATATGGAACCTTTTTGCGCCGTTTTTACGGGATATTATTAGGAGGGAGTTGTACAATGTGGATACGTAAGTTTTTGACGATATATATAATATTTTAGGCGATAAACTCGATTTTCTTTCGCAATTCGCATTGTGAAATGTACACAGTAACACTTCGTTCATGGACTAAAAATAGTGAGATTTTTGTCAAGATAAATGCACGATTGCTCAATAAAATCATTCTATACATATTCTACAGTGTGTGAAACATTGTTACTGTACATTACAAACTTTAGATATTTAAATATTATTCAAATATGCCAAAAGGCGATCACTGTTCTGTGTGGGGTTGTGAGAACGATCGGAGGTATCCAGAGAGGCAAAAAATTCTTCCTCATGTTGGTATTTTAAGGTTTTATTCACCAAGAAATAACAAAGAAATCGTATCGTGGGATAGAGCAATAAACAGAGCACAATTTAAGGTAACAAAAAGTACCAAAGTGTGCTCAAATCACTTCAAGCAAGGCTATCGAACCTCTGAATGTAACACACCAACATTGTTTATGAGGGGCTATGATGTGGACAGCAAATCTAGACGAGCAYCTCCAAAAAGCAGAAAASAACYTGTGTCGAAAAAGGCTAGACGAAAAAGACCGCATATCAGAAGTGAGGATGAAAGTGCACCTAAAAGAAAGAAATTACATGTAGCTTATAATGACAACGAATTGTTTGATTTACTGCCAGATCTACCTTCACCATGTGTCTCTGAAAATGAACAGTTTAGCGCAGATAAATACACTCAGACTGAACAACCAAAAAGTAAAGAGCAGTTAAAAAGAGAATTCTTCATTGATCAGGCAACTTGTGAAAATAACTGCTATAGATACACGGGTATGATCAGGGCAAAACTAGACTTAGTGTTTGAATTCTTGGAGCCTAAGACAAAAGACCTTCGTTTCTGGAGAGGAAGCAAAGGGACAGCTAAAAAAAGGAAAAACAGCAAGAAAAAAAGAGAGAAGCAACAAGGAGATTTAACTAAGTGGGAGCAATATATTCTAACTTTAGTAAGGACAAGGAGGGGCTTTGATGTTAGATTTCTTGCAGATACATTTTGTATTTCTGCATCACAAGTATCTAAAATTTACAATACCTGGATCACTTTTCTCTCAGAAGAACTCTCATTTCTGATTCCTTGGCCTTCAAGAGAGGAAATTGATAAMTCCCTCCCAGATAGGTTTAAAATCTTCCCAAATGTACGGGTTATAATTGACTGTGCAGAAATTTTMMTTCAAAAGCCCAAAATTCCATCAAGTCAAAAGATCACWTGGAGCAGTTATAAACATTGGAATACTTTCAAACTTCTTGTTGGTATAACACCAACAGGGGTTATATCATTTCTTCCACCACTTTGGACTGGGTCTGTGAGTGATAAAGAAATTGTACAA